GGAGCATAAGCTGCAGTTAGCTATACGGTGTAGGCTGACGAGGTACTGCTGACGTGGCCCTGCTTCTGTCGTGGTACTGCTGATGTGGCACTGCTGTCGTGGCACTGCTGCGGTCATGGCACTGCTGACGTGGCACTTACCAAAACGGGAATGCAGGCAAAAAGGGTTGGGTGGGAGGGGAAACGCAGGAAGGTAACCAACCAAACTGTACTTTCCTCCTGGTCCTAGTCAACAAAATAAAAATAAAAAAATAAAAGAAGAGAATCACGCCCCTTTTTCTTTTTTTTTTGGTATATCTGTTGATCTGCTATCAGTGAGGCATTTTACGGAGGAGTGCTAAGAGTAAGATCTAGGCAAGGCTTTGCAAAATTTCGTTTTTAGAAAAAACTTTTTGTGAAAATAAAATTGTGCGAACATTGGATAGATATTCGATTTTCAGAAAGAATAAATCCAGTTTCCGAGAATATGACCACCTCGCTTGTTAACCTGTATGCCCAGAAAAACGAGATGCTAACACCAGAAATTTTCGGCTATAATATCAGAAATTTTCGGGTGCTAATATCAGAGAAACGAAATGCTATTATCAGAAATTTTCAGATATTTGTTGCGTGAAAACGAAATGCTAATATCAGAAATTTTCAGATAAGACGAAATGCTAATATCACAAAACAGATAAAACGAAATGCTACTATCAGAAATTTTCAGGTATTTGTTGCGAGAAAGAAGAATTTTTTTTTTTGCAGAGATTTGACGAAGTCCTACTTGATTTACTAGTACACAATCGATCAATCACTCAATCAATCATTCAACAATCAGTAGATCAAGCAAGCTGGCTACTTGACTGGGCGGATCCTCTGATTGAGAGGTCCGCTCCGATACCAAACTGTCGCATACCGTAACGGTACAGACCAGAACAAGGACCGACCTCTCTCACAAAGTACAAGATAACACAGCGGAAGGCTTAAATACCAATGATCCGAACAATCAATATTGCCATGCAGGCCAAACATACATCATCATCATTCCATGCTGTGAAGGGGCCTGGCGCTCACACAGGAAGAATGCGCCAGCCAGTCCCCAACTATACACAGACGAAGAAGAGGGGGGTTAGACGAAGAAGACTGGAAGATGGGAATGTTGTCAACACCACGTCTTCGGTACAGTCCCAAATAATCCTTCGTCAAATGTCTGAATCCCAATGAGTCTGGATCCAACTGTCGTCAAATCCCAAAGTCGTCAATCTTCTCTCTCGTAGTCTGCAGATACTGACAAGTCAGGTAGCGAGAGGGTGAGGAAGGGATGGTGGACTTATAAGAGGGAGAAGAAGAACTCTCTCTCTCTCTCTCTCTCAGTCCGGTACTAACCTGTGAAGGTGGCGCCTTGTTGCAGGTACATCGAAGACGAAGCTGGAGCTATGGCGCCACAGGTAAGTCTCCCTGGCCTCCGCCAACCATCTCTCTCTCTCTCTCTCCAATGCTACTCTAGCTCCTACTAGCGCCCAGCGCTGAAGACTACTGCTAACGCTACTACTACTCCTGCAGCACTCCTCCACAGTGCTGCTGCCGAATCCTGAAGACTACCCCCTGCCTCCTGCACATGAAGTGCCTGGGAAGTTCCTATGAACTGCCTCCTGACTGCCCCCAGGCTGCAGGGCGGGCCAGTCTTATATAGTGCTGTCCCGTCCAGGAGGCTGCTCTTGCCAATGCCAAAACGTGCCAGACCCTGGCGTTGAAGTTCAACCAAAGGTCGTCTTGAAAACAGGCCCAAAATGGTCTGTGCTAAAACCCTGGTCTGGTGCCTAAGTTTCAGGGCAGGTCGATCTTATGAGGGCCTGAAATGGCCCTCCGTTTCAGGCTGAAAAGACTCAGGGTCTGGAGGGCCCCGTTTTAGGCTGAAACGACACAGGGCCTGTAGGCCCTTGTTTCCAGGCTTTCAGGCTGGCACGACACAGGGCCTGTAGGCCCTCGTTTTCAGGCTTTTAGGCTGAAAACGAAATAGGCCCTACACCTACTGACCCTTAGTCTACCTTGTTGGGCTCTGCTGGGCCCGTGTAGTACAGAGTATGCCACATCTACCCTTGTCTTCACCAGAAGTCGCTGACGCATTTCGAGTTCTCTCTCTTGTATCACCAATGCCTTCTCAGCTTCATCCTCCACAACTTTGCTATGAACTCTGTCCTTTACGCTTCCGACTCTTCCGCCCATTCATCCTTTCGAAACCCAAACTTCTCCATCCATGTATGGGTATCAACGGGGTAGAGATGCAGTTGGCTGGATTCCCCCCTTTCAGCTGGCCCTCCTCAAGCCCTGTTCCTAGGGTTGTCCAACCTCTCTTCTTCTTCTCCTTCTTCTTCTGCAACTTCGACCTGCTGTTTCTGTTTCTCCAGCATTTTCAGCTTCTCCTCCAATTCCCTTCTCTCCTTCTCCAGTCTTTCTTTCTCCTCTTCTTTCTTCTTCCTTTGCACCTCGTTCTCCTCCTCTTCCTTCTTCCTTTGCACCTCGTTCTCCTCCTCTTCCTTCTCCTCCGCCAGCTCCTATCAATTTCGGCCTGCTGTTCAGCAGTATAAGGCCGGGTGGACGCCCCGGATCGACTCACGACATGCATGCGAAAGGTCTGGGCGAACCCCAGTGGAAAGAGAAAACGGAGTATGGGGCCCCATATAAGGGACAGGGCCAAGAAGCCGAACATCGGGTAGTCGTCCATGGCGAGAGTCAGCCAGGTAATTTGACTCCTCACCACGTAGACCTACTCCTCAAAACTCAACAGTCTCCAACACTTATACTAATCCTAACCTAAATCAGGGTCTCACTCATTTGCTTCCCTTCCCACTTCCTGCTCTCCTAACAGCTGGTGGACCACTAGCAGTTTAAGGTCAGCTAGCACAGACCTCAGGAATTCTTTAACGATGCAAACAGGACGCCGTGTCCTCCATTCTGAAGGATTGCTCTCCACACTGACAGATTCCTCGCTGTGCGCGACAGGGTTCGAGTATAACTACCACCAGATGGGCTGCCAGCTGGTCAGTACCGGTCCTTGGTGGATCTCCCTGGCCTCCTTCCCTGGTTGACCTTACGTCTCACCCCCACTTTGCCTGCGCGGTACCCAGCTGCCAAATCTCTATCAGACCTCTAGAACTCCCCACTGCATCTTGTCAGCTTTCAGTCGCACGCCGGTCAGTACCGGTTTTACGGATAGACAGGTTGTTTTACGAGCGCCTGCCGCTCTTGCCCATCCCTCTTACTTTGCCTAAAGATGCATCCAGCTGGCGAGTCCCTACCCTGGACCGACCTACAGGGTACCTATGCCCCCAGGTAGGCAAGCGACCCTAACCACATTCCCCAGAAGGGGGAGGAGCCTTTCCTCCAGGAGAGATCAGTCTCTGACTCGCCAATCAACAGGCAGATGAAATTGATTTAAAGTGCGACTGCTGACGCAAATGACGAGAGGACATCAACAAAAATGGACTTGCAGCAGAGGTCTCCAGGAAAATTTGTGGGAAGGTACCATACACAACAAACAATTTGCAAAAACGACAAGGGCCAGGGCAGGAAGCACTTCACTGGGTCTTCAACGCTCCACCGGTGAGGCTCCACAATCGCAGGTACACTCTACTTCGGCCCTCAACTTCCATTCAAACGCAAATCTCTTTTTTTTTTTTTTTTTTTAATCGCCCGCCCTCCTTCTTCTGTGCCAGCACCTCACTCCATGTGGATGCAGTGGGAACCAGCTCTGATACCAGTGAAATGAACCAAGTACTCGTCAAGTTCCACCCGATACATCAATGAACATTCACATGAGAGTCCATGTGTGAGAGCCAAACCGAGATACAATCAACACATGAAGATGTCGTCTCCAAAATTATTATCAATATACACGAAGTGTTTGTCTCCAGTGGCTCTGCCTCACTCTACCTCTCTCTGTCTGTTCCTAGATCGTCACCCTGTATACACCCACTCAGGCTGTGGCCGCTGATCCCCTTCTACTACCGTAGCTATGGAGAGACCAGGCACCTTCTTCGTCCTCCCGGCGCGGAGTGCCCAAGTTGCATTAACGCACAAGCACCAGCAGCGCTTCACATCTTGCAAATGAACAAGTGATGAGCCGCTGCACTGTAGCAGCTAAATATAGGACTTGACTTGGCTTCGCCTGCTTCAGACCGGTACCGTTTGGCCGCGGCCTCTCTGCTGCACCTTCCGGACTTTTTCTGGGACATGTTGCAAAATTGGACTTGGGACTGTTTGACTGGACTGGACATCTCTGGACTTTCCTTGTGGGTACCGGACGGACTTCTACTGACCTACGACTTTTCAGTATTGGACTTGGGACTGTTGGACTGGACTGGACATCTCTGCGGCGGTACTGACCTATGACCTATGACCTATGACCTTTCAGTTGGACTTGGGACTGTTGGACTGGACTGGACATCTCTGTGGACAGTACTGACCTATGACCTATGACTTTTCGGTACTGACATCTACCGACCAAATACGCTTCAGCCTACGGACCCTGCGGCGTATCCTACCAGGACAACCTGGGACTGGGACACTTCGGGGCTCGTGGACCAGGACTGGGTGTCTGCAGCATGAATCCTTTCACAGTGGACGCCATTGTTTCCAGCGCCTACAGGCAGGTAAACCTCCTGTGAGTCAAGAGTGGCACATTGTGAACATAGTTCAGAGGACACTGAAAAAGTGCAACCAAAGCTTGCAGTTTAAGTGTTTTGTTGTTTTGCAATGTGTCTATGGATTTGCATGCAAGTTTATGTCTTAAATTTGTTTCCATTCGAATTTTTTGTGTTAACTTAATGTGGCAGTGATGTCTGTTTCTGTAAATTACATTTTCTGGAATTTGCATTTTTTGCAGTATATCAGATACCTCCCTCCCGAGTCATTCAGTGTAACTCAGGAGGCACAGGCCTGCCTTGTGTTAACAAGCAACGCCCCATTTACCCCCTGTAAAATTATGTCCTGTGCATGTGTGTCTGTGTGTACTTTCTCCAGCTGAAACCATGTGTCGCAAAGGATACCCCGAAGCCAGAAGGAGTAACAACCGATGCGTCTCCTTCCTGACGTTTCGCAGTGGCTACCTTCCCCTGGCTGGATTGGTTCAAGATTGTTTATTCGTCTTGTTCAGTGGTCCATCATCCGCAAGTTTGCTGATGTTCCCTTTGCGAGAGAAAGATAGAGGTGAGGGTGAAACAGAATGAATGTGCACGACCGGCTGGCCTATCTCAGTTGGTACACAACGAACTGTGGAAATGCAGGTCCAGCCCGGATCTGGATGTAATCAGATAAGTGAAAATAACTCTGAATCTATCTGGGGCCGGTCAGTTCAGAGATGATATCTCAAGGTCATCGCCCTTTTTCAACAAAACAAGAGAATGAATGTGTGGTGTGTGTGTGTGTGTGTGTGTGTGTGTGTGTGTGTGTGTGTGTGTGTGTGCGTGTGTGTGTGGGTGTGTGTGTGTGAGAGAGAGAGAGAGAGAGTTCAGCTGTGGCATGCCAGAATGGCGCAGACCAGAACCAAGAACCGACCTCTCAAATATGGAGCAATGATAGCACAGCGGAAGGCTGAAATACCAATAATCAGACCCAGTCAATGTCGTGACACAGACTGAACATCATCATCATCGTCATCATCACACGGTGTGAGTGGCCTGGCGCCAGTACACATAGACGAGGGCTCCAGGCCCGATGCGTACACGGATGAGGTAGGAGAGACGAAGAGGGGGAAGAGGAGGGGAGATGTCGTCAACCCAGCGTGTCATCGATACCGATCCCAACAGTAGTCCCCCACAATGGCTTTGTTCAAGTTTCAAGTCTGAATCCCAATTGCGCAAATCTCTCTCTCTCTCTCTCTCTCTCTCTCTCTCTCTCTCTCTCTCTCATAGTCTGACGAAGGAGAAAGGGGGCAGAGTGCTGGAGGGGTAGGGGAGGAAGAAGGAGAAGATCTCTCTCTCTCTCTCATAGTCTGGCGAAGGAGAAAGGGGGCAGAGCGCTGGAGGGGTAGGGAAAGAAGAAGGAGAAGATCTCTCTCTCTCTCTCTCTCTCTCTCTCTCTCTCTGTGTGTGTGTGCGTGTGTGTGTGTGTACCAGGCACTAACCTGTGGAAAGGTGTCGCCTTGATGCAGGTATGGACCAACTGAAGACTAAGCTGGAGCGATGGCGTCACTAATAAGTTGTTAGGTGAGTCTCCTTGGCCTCCGCCAAAGCCAGTCTCCCTCCAACCTCCACTGCAGTAGGCTGCAGCGCTGACTCGTGGCGGAAGTCCTAACGCAGCGCCCAGCACTAACCTGTGAAAAGGTGTCGCCTTGATGCAGGTATGGACCAACTGAAGACGAAGCTGGAGCGATGGCGTCACTATAAAGTCGTTAGGTGAGTCTCCTTGGCCTCTGCCAAAGCCAGTCTCCCTCCATCCTCCGCTGCAGTAGGCTGCAGCGCTGACTCGTGGCCGAAGTCCTAACGCAGCGCCCATCCTATCGTCGACTACCGCTACCGCTAGGGAGTACCTCCACAAATGGCTGCTGAAACTGAGGCTGACCAGTGATAAGTAGCGCTGATCCGGCCTCAGGAGTGCCTCGAATCGAATCCTGGCGCCCAAACTGAGGCTGGGCCTCAACGGCCAGCGCCTAACGAAACGACGCTGCTACTAGGGTCTGGCGCCAAAACGTGCAACGGGGCCTGTCCTCCTAACCTGGCCTAACTAGGCCTACGGACCTATGGGCCCTACATTGGGCTGAAACGCCACAGGGCCTATCTAGACCTAAATGGCCCCTAACCAAGACCTAGTCCTACCTGGTTGGGGCTGGTAGGGCCCGTATGGAACACTGAATGCAGATCGAGTTTACGGACAAGGGTGAAGCTGCTTATCGGAGGGAGGGACGGTAGCCCGGGTGGAAGGGGCAGGCTGTGAAGCTTCCTTGGCTAGTCGTTGTCGCTCGTAGTGGGGGTAGATCAGCGGTGTGGAAGCTTGCAAGTCTGTTTGCGAAATCCATTGTGTGTCGTTGCCGTCGCACCCCTTAAATGTGACCTTGTACTGCATCGGCTTGTTGCTGTACTTGTGGTACATGACGACACGATCGATCTCCTGATGACCATCCATGGAAGGAGGGTCCTGCGATCGTCGGCTCGGGAAGTCGTCGCTCTTGGCTGGTGTCCATCTTGAAGGCGTGGAAGACCGGGTGGACCGCTAGATGAGGCGGGATGTCGATCAGAAAGGATGGGCCATTGGGCTCGTCGCTCGTGTCTGATGTGACGGTCCATGGTCCGAACCACTTGGGGAGTAGCTTGTGCGAAATGTCTTGCTCGAGCACAAACTCTTTTGCGGAGACCCAAACAAGGTTACCGACACGGTTAGGACCAATTGGCTTGCTGCTGCATGCGGACTTCAGCCTTTGCATGTTTGCGCAGGCTTGGGCCGGCAAATCCCGGTACTACCGAACGGTGGCGGGAGAGCAAGGGGTGTCAATGTCGTTAGACCGTGGACGTAAGGCCTCTCTGGCCACCATGGTGCAACTCGGATGGAATCACGTCGGTCGTTGGATGCAACGAAGTGTTGTAGGAGAATTCGATGTCGGGAAGGCGGTCCACTCAATCCCTTTGGTCCGGATGGATGAGCGTATGGAACATCATTTGAGCAGTTTGGTGTCCCCTCTTTGTTTGCCCGTCCGTTTGTGGATGTCGAGCGGAATTCGGTTTTGTTTCGGTGTCGGATCCCTTAATGAGGGAAGTCCAAAATGCCGATATGAAACGAGTGTTGCGGTCGTTGACGATGTACTCAGGAACGCCGTGGCTGCACATCCAGCCGGTGTGCTAGAGTCGCGTGAGCTCGGGAGCCATGGCATGATACTTGCAAGGAAGGAATTGCTATTCCGATCCACTAAAATTATAACTCCAAGGATACCTCGAAGTTCAAGATAAAGTATATAATTAAAATATTATTCATGAAAGATAATAATTATTAACACAATACTTCAATGTCTATAGATAGAGTCGATGAACATCAAGATAATAATACAGTATAACTCAACTAATACCAGGACATTAAGAATTTACATCTAACTGAATCGTTCAAAATAACTGAAATAATATCATTTATTAAAAGGGCCTTTACCCGATTCAGACCCTATTTGACGAATGCAGCCTAGTGGGGTCACTCGCCCAGAGCCCAACTCGTGAAAGCAGATCAAAGGACATGTTCTCTGGGTCAAAAGTCACATCCTAGGTAAGTAAAAGCCAATGTCAAAGGTCGCAATTGTGCCCCTGGACGAACAGTTGCAATATTTGGATTTGGGAGTCACATCTGTTCATCCAGGGGGTGTGCAGGTCATGTCTGTTCAGGCAAGAGATGTGTCTGTACGTGCAGTGTGTGTGTCTGTTCGTGCAGTATGTGTGTCTGTACGTATAGTAGGTGTGTCCTTTCAAAAGGAAGTCAAAAGGTTGAGTCCCAGTCAGGATTCCAGTCAAAGGGGAAGTCCAGATTCAGGTTGGAAGTCTGAAATTGCGGCCTGAGGGCTGCAGCAGCAGTGGACCCTGAGGAAAAGGAACTGTGGCACACAGCACAGAGGCTGGGACTGGGAAAAAGGACCAACAAAGACTGAATTCAGACCTCGCCAGGGGAGGCCAACACTATAAGAAACGAGATAGCCTCCCCACAAGGCAGATTCCCATGGGCATTGATGCGTGGAAGTGCTGAGGCACTTGTGCGCTAAGGTGCAGGGAGGAGCGCTGGCTAAAGGAGGAGCTGCGCCAGAGGAAGGAGAACAGGGCGCTGGCTGCAGGGAAGCCATAGCCGCGCCAGCCCAAGTTAGCAGTAGTAAAAGGTTAGTAATAGGTTATCAGCGGGAGGCATTCAGAGTAGATCCTCAAGGACAAGGAGTGTGCATGCATAATGAGAGTAGGGAATCACGAAGGGGTCTTGAGAGAGAAGACAAGAAGAGAGAGAAGGCAGGCTACAAAGTGGAATGTGGTGAACACTTACTGGTTTGCGCCATACTTATGATCCGGAAGGAGACACTGGCTGAGCCAGGTTCTAAGATGAGGAATGAGGGAAGAAGACTTACATTCTGTTGGCGCTGATCTTCTGAACTTGAGATATTCTTGTTTAATGTGAATTTGATAATACAAGCTGCGCTATCTGGTTCCTGTCTCATCTGTACTATGGCTTTGTGTAAAGCTTTCTTATCTGGGTGATGACATGTATGCGTGCGAGGTGATACACTCCAGCAAGCAGTGACAGTCAGGTCCCTTGCAATTTGGTATCGGAGCAGACTCGTTGCGCTCGCTGACTCGCTGGCCTGAGTGAGGCTGGCGAGGGAGATAAGCTGGCTTGAAGATGCTGGCTATGGTGGATGTGTAAGTAGAGAAGAAGTGGATTGGGATATGAGAGCGGAGTAGGCCGAAGAGGAAGAGGTGAACGAGAGAAACTTACCTCGCGTGGAGCGTTGGAGTGCGGAGCGACGAGGAGTCTTCATCGACGATCGCTGCAAAAGAGAGAAGCATCCTCTATCCCCTTACCTGGCTGCATGTGTGTGTGAACCTCTACCCATCCTCTCTGGGGTCGCTACTGCTGCTGTCAGATCGAGTCACCTGGTCTGTAGTCTGGTTGATTGGGAACAAAGGGTCTGGTCACGTCGGAGACAAGAGTGGTCAGAAGTCCTTGTTGGTTCTATCTTTTACCCTCTGGTCTGGTGTCTGCGCTGTAGTCAAGATAGGAGTACGCTGGGGAGGTGGTGGCAGTCTGCCACGTCAGTATGCAAGTAAAATATAAGGCATAATTAAACTGGGCAGAAACAAGTTGAGATCGAAGTGTTGTCCATGTATCTGATCGAGTGACCACTCCAGTTTGCACCTGCGCAGGAGGATAAACAGGCAGGGTTAGTGAAAGAAGAAAGACAAAAGGAAGTGAAGAGTTCACAACCAGACAAGCAGTTAGGATAAACCAGGTGGACCTTGGGCTAAAACCAAGCATAGTACTTATTCTAATTAATTTGATATCTTACGTTGGAAACAAGCAGCAAGCAAGGCAAGAAAAAAGATTTTATTGTATATTCAAGTTTGAAAATCTGAAAATCGTTATTATTACAGCAGCGACAGCAGAATCATTCCATCCCATCCACCTAGATTAGCTCAAAGATAAGTTGGGTGGTTTACCTGGCGGGACCTGTGGAGGGACTCCTGTGCTAAGTCCCATCATGAACGACTTCCCAGTGCAGGGACTTATGGCCCTCTCTGTTCTTTTGGGCCCCCTGTTCAATGTCTTCTTTCCTTTGGGTTTCGGGAGGGTGTGTACTTCGCGGATGATGACGAGGTCTGGCACGGTAAAGCCAGGACCCACGCCTGCTGAACAGGCAGAAATCAATCGTCGGCAGGCAAAGAAAAAGACAGAGAAAGAAGACAGAAAAAAACAGAAAGAAGAGGAGATAAAGAAGAAAGCCCAAATGGAAGAAGAAAGATTGAAAAGGGAAATGAAAGAAAAGATGGAGAAGCAGTTGAAAGAGGAGTTGCAGACAAGAAGAAGAAGAAGAAGAGGGTGATGAAGGAGCCGAAAGGCTGATCAGACGGCGGGCTGAAAGAGGAGAGAGTAGTCAGATGGGTGAAGGACTTAACGTTAAACCGCTGGACTGGTACAACCAGTATGCGTACTCCAGCGATCGAATAGGAGAAACGGAGGAAGAACGAGACATGTTCATTGCAAAGTTGATATACGTTACAGATCAGAAAGAAAAAGACCTTATGCTAGAGGAGAAACGTGCTGACCTGCATAACAAAATGTTAGCAGCAAAACGGCAAGAGTTGGACGA